GTAACATCTGTAGAGATCAGAGCTCTGTATGGACGGTAACATCTGTAGAGATCAGAGCTCTGTATGGACAGTAACATCTTCACCATCCCACATCAAGCCCTGTGTATTACAGGAATATAAATGTAATATCATTTGACATTACATCCCCTGTTTTTAAAATTACATTGTCCATTGTACACACTTTACTGCTTTCTTAATATTCACATCACTGCGTTTTCTCACCTCAAGGAACCATAGCACTTACTCCTAGTTTGATTTAAATGTCATCAACAGTTAGTTCTGCATTGAATGGTCCATAATTTACGCTCTGTCACCCACAGGTGAGACGCAGTATCTCATGGCCAGTAAAGAGTACGTGGTCGGGCGCAAGAACTGTGACATCCTTCTTGCCAACGACCAGTCCATCAGCAGGGCTCACGCTCACCTCACTCTGACCGACCAGGTGAGACAGCAAGACAGGAAACCAGTATTTACAGTTCATTCTTTACATCGACTGAATATGTGCAGCTCCGCTTAAACATTTGAAATATTTCGCTCTTTCAAAGACATTGCACAATTAAATTAAAAGCTCCAAACACAGAAAACTGTGTCTCTCTTGCTTGAATTTAAAACATCAGGACTCTGATGGAACAACAGCACTGACCATGTTGTGCACCTAAGTTTATTCCTCGTGTAAAACGGTGCAGCTGAGGTTTTGGACAGAGGATATGATCAGTTCAGAAAAGTCTTAACATGGCAGAACAAAATTTAAACATCATTATAACATTAACGTTTCACCACTGAAGAATCAGATGCTTATTATTTTATAGCTAAATTCGCCCTAAACATCCCCCTGAGCACATCAACACGTCTTTGAAGCTTCTAAGAGGCACCTGAAGGAGTCAAAGAGTTAATTCAGTTTGCATAAGGCCAGAGTGTGAGCTGAAATGTGACGGTGTGGTGTGATAGTTGAGCAGTCACTCTTTTGTCTTTGCATAATCCAACAATCCTGTCAGTATTATGCTGTGGAAACTTTCTGTCTACAAATAAAATCACATCCTAATTATGTAACTTTCTGTATATGTGACAAACAACAAACACCAAGTACAGTATTACACATTGTGAGATCTGACACAAGGTAGAATTTTTTTTTAAAACGTAATCACTGTGTATGACCACATAGATCTGTTTGATCTTTTGTATTTGTTTATCACCCAACCCCTTCAGTAATGTTCCAAGTAGCAGTTAGTATTTGATTAGCAAAATGGTTACTTGTTTGATGCCAGTAGGTGGTGCTGTTGCGCTGGTTTCTGTCGTTAAAGCTGGAAAATGTCTTAAAATGTGGTTTTAATTGTAATCGATGGCTTGTTTAAAAATTACTGCAATTACTGAGCAATACACATGCAGAATGAAAACACACTGGAAACATGTACTAGATTTAAAAATCTTAGACCTCATTTAAAAACCTCCAAAAATAAATGGTACATTGAAGATCCATTTCAGTTGTTTTTTCTTGTTTCTAAAAAGTCTGTTCACTGTGAGCATTTTGATTCATAAATACATGAACCTGCTTTAACATAAGAGCATCTAATATTTATTGTTTATCTGTTGATAGTGAAATCAATTTCTTTTGCCTGTGTTTCACCACTGTCTGCAGTTCTTACACTGAAGGTTCAATTTCTGAGCTTGGAATAACTTTCCATCTCAGGTTTTAATTTTCTCACTGTCACATGTATTGTTGAATGGAATGATTTACAGGTTTGTCTTGTGTATTTTACTTTTAGACCCTGACGTTGAAAGACACCTCCAAGTACGGCACTTTTGTCAACAGCAAGCGTGTGACAGAGAACACGTCAGTTAACCTGAAGTCTGGGGACAATGTAACATTTGGGGCTTTTAACAGCAAGTTCAGGTATGTACCCTTGTCTGTTGTGTTCTACATCACAGAGCCATGATTGTGTTACTAACAAATTCATCTTTAAATCTATTGCATTACACGTGTCCCTCACAGTGTGGACCATCAGAAGCCAGTGGTGTGTTCATCATGTTTGGACAGTGATGGCAAGACGTCACTCTCTCAGGCTCTGCTGGCTCTGGGTGGAAAGCTGGTCAACACGTGGACTCAGGACTGCACCCACCTGGTTATGCCCACTGTTAGAGTCACCATCAAGGTTAGAACCAGTATTTATGGCCCTGTTCTGATCTGGTATTATATTAATATTATATGTCAAATGGACAGCTTTAAGTGTGTGTGTTCACACCTGGCATTAAAACGTGTCCTGAATGTGTCCTCGGTGACCATGTATGATTGGATCTCAGTTACCTGCTCTCTATGCAAATAGGTAAGTCGGTCATTCCTGTTCATGAACAATACAAATGTGTTGGTTGTTACTGTTTTTGCATGTTGGTGCGAGCGGAAATATAAATATTTAGCACTGACCATGTGTGATTAAATCACTGAGGACAAATGCTGATTCTAGAGATGTTCTGATACCTTTTCCCTGCTCTGATTCTGATACTTAGACTTTGCAGATCAGCCTATACGCATCAATCTGATTCCAGTGTGACCCACTGATTCCAGGTCATATCAGATATTATTGTTTGCCTAAACGAGAAAGACACAGCTCTTTTTAATGGTGCTATTTAGTGCTTCTGATATTTTATATGAATATTTGAAAATGATAAGAATAACATCATCATTTAAGAATAATAAGCAGAAATAAAAAGAGTTGTGTCCTGTTTATCTAAAGTAATGATAAAGCTCAGCATTGATTTGGAGTCAATGGGTCACATGACATGGACGCTATTAAAAACAATGCAGATATCTCAGATTGAAACAGGAATTTATCCCTAAGTGAAACATAAAGCTAGTATCATCACGGAAGGAAACATCTCTATTTAAAACCTGGCACATGCGACTTGTTCGTCCCTGAATATGCTCTCACATACTTGTGTGTTTTCCCCAATCAGACCATTTCTGCTGTGCTGTGCTGTTGTCCCATCGTGAAACCAGAGTTCTTCTTGGTGTTCAACAAAGCTGTGCAGCAAAAACTGGCACCGCCTAAAGCCGAGAGGTACGACACAGTCCGTCAGTGAACGCATCACCTGCAGCGCTGAAACAAACAGTATCTCATCTGTGCTCTTCATTGTCATTAAGCTTCATCCCTGAGATCGATGAACCCTGTCTCATTAAAGAGGATGTTAACCTTGGAGTGACTCCAGCTCGCAAACTACTTTTTACTGAGAAGACCTTTGTGTTCCTCAGTGCCAAACAGGTTTGTTCTCTTCTTCTGTTTGGTCACTCAATACTGAATAACATTATCAGGATTTCCGTCGATCAGAAGTTCAAAGATCTCAGTGGAGTTATGAGATAAGCACTTGTTATTGGCCATTTCATTTCCGATGACGCTGCTTGTTTTTCAGTCATTATGATGGAAAGTCACATGATCTCGTGAGCTCCGTTTATCAGCTGAGCATCAGTTACCAGGCAGTCGTCAGCTCAGGGATCCTCAGGGAGACTCACTGCTCCAGTGACGAGCTGGTTTTTCAACAGGCAAATCCAATCTTTTGAAACCGTAAACAACAAAATCCATGGTAGTGTACTTGTTGTAACTGTAATCATGAATGTTGCAATTGAATGTATTTTGTTCAAGTAATTAATTAATCGAATAAGAACTTCATCATTTTACTGGGTACGTTTTCTTCATGCTTGAACCTCCTCATGAGGTCAGGTGCATGTGCAGGGACAGCTAAACTATATATATATAAAATAATAACTTTATATGTTTGGTCTTATTGGCTTTGTCTGATGAAATAATCTCTTATGTAAAACGACTTCCACACTTTCATCCAGTGGGCGTTAACGCAACAACACGATTCCCTGGTTTGACCAACAAACTTAATGATTGTAAATGTAAGAATGTCACTCAGTCTCTCTGTCTTTGTAATCTCATGAAGATTATCCATCAGGAGTTCTGGACCCTTTTTGAATTCTTTGAATTTTGACTTTATATTAATTACCACACAAGAACATATTCACTTTGCCTAAAAACACACACGTGATCACAGCGGCGTGATTGCAGACTCCAGAGTTAATGTTGCTCCTCTTCTATGTTATTTTCAGCTGAAGCGTCTGAGTGGAGCCGTGAGTTTTGGGAAAGGAAAGAGTCGGCTGTTGGAGGAGGGCGCTCTGCCCCGGGACCTGCTGGAGTCTCCACAAAGCTGTGTGGTCGATGTCACAACAGGCAGCTCCCAAACCCTGCTGTCCTCCTCTGCCACAGAGTGGGCAAACTCTGTGAAGAACATTGTTGAAAGGTTTGTTCATGTGCTTCAATAGAAAATGACTTCAGAGTGTTTGTCGTTTGGTGGTAGATTGTCGTTTTTCCCACTGACACAGAAAAGGCCTTCGAGTCATCACCGAGTCTGAGATCGGATTGGCTGCCATCTTTGCTTCCTGTGACAAGTACTGCAATCCATCCAGTCTACAGCCAGACTCAGGTGGGAGGCCAGACAGGGAAGCACTCAGTACTGATTTCTTTGTTTCAATTCTACTTTTTGTTGTTTCAATCTTCTGGTTGTGTTTCAGATTCAGCACCAAAAGTGACAGCCAGAATCCCGAGTGCTTCACTGTCACAGAGCGTGGCCGTGGATGAGACTGTGTTACCTGCTGCGACACAAAATATCACAGCATATGCAGTGAACACAGAGCCATTCGAACGGTACCGCCACACGCTCATCACACAAACTTTTCACTCCTCTGTCCATTCCACAAAGCCTGTTAGATGTTATTTCCTGCGTTTGCCAGGTCAGTGCCATGTAACGTGACAGGGGTGACGGCGGTAGGAGAAACTCCTGAAAAGAAGCATGATGGATCTAAAGTTATCGCTGAGAGGATGTCCACTCCGAGCATAGTGGCTGAAACAATGAGCTCATCGTATAACACAAACTCACAGAGGAAGAAGCCTGAGTCCAGACTGACAGGTAGCAGCAAGAATGAATTACAGATGCACTGATGCATTTACTTCTCTACTATCACTCTCTCTACACTTGGATAAAATAATCAGCACCGGGGACGGTCAAGATATTTTCAAAAGTCTGAATATTCTTAAAACTCAATATTTTTGCCGTTGCAGGTGCGGGGAGCAGATGCATTAGGCCCCAACCATCCACTTCCTGGGCCAGTGGTGGCATGAAGACATTTCCACAGAAGTTGTCTCAAAAAAGTCCTGCACACGTTTCACCACAGAAACAGTCGACTCTGAAGAGCTTCTTCCAGCCAGCCAATAAGAAAAGGTAAACCTTAATACCAGCCTTTTGCATATTTTAGCAGTGGTGATGCAGTGCTTGCATCAATCAATGCAAACTACATCACCAATCACAATTAACATATGTTTTACTGATGGGACAGGATGACAAGGATGTATAATGTTTAGAAAACAAGATTGAATTTGATGAGTCATACTAGCCATAGACATAGAATTTTTTATTTATTTTGATATTCACTCAGAGAAATGAAAATTTAAACAGATGAAATACATCTATTACATGTTTCAGATGCACCAACTTATTTGTGTTGTCGTTTCTTCAAGGCCTTTGGACGATGATTTCTCTGATGTTATGTCAGAGCCAAAGCGGCCTGTACAGGCATCGTCCGTCAGCAGAATGCTGGCACCGAACACCTCAGTTACGTCTAAAGAAACATCCTCGCGTTCTGACAGACTTCCCGCAGCCACATCTCAGACTCCACTGAGGTCTGGAGCTGATCTGTTCGCAGGACGGTCGGAGGACAGGGTCTCCCATGCTGCTCAGGAGGAGCCACAGAGTAGAAAGAGGAAGGAGATGGAAGCAGAGATACAGATGGAGGATCTGGAGTCTATTATGTCTGAAGATATGGATTTCTTTGATGAGCCACCCTCAGGCAAACAAGGCCAGCACGCACAGCCTAAATGGCAAAGTTCAACTGGACAGAAACAAGATTATAACATGGAGGAGGCTCCCACTTCAAGCAAGAGGCAATGCATCCATGCAGAAGACAGTGAAGCCAACAGACGGCCACTGGAAAACAAGTCCGGTTCCCATAAGAACCAAAGCAAACAGTCCGAACAGTTTATTGTCTCCATCAAGATGGAGAAGGTTGATCCTTCAGAAAACTCAGCTCATCATGAGTCCATTGAACATGATAATCCGTCTTACATTCAGGTGAGGAGGAAGAATCGCAGTTCTGCAGTGTTGTTTTTTCATCCAATAATATAGAGGTTTTATATGAGATTATATTCCATTGTTACTCCTCATTTTCTGCCCTTTGTGCTCCTAAAGGATATTGATCTACTCAAAGGAGATAATTATGAGCCCAAAGAAGAGACTAAGACACCTCTGAAAGCAGTCGTCATTAAACAAGAGGTGCAAGTAAGTCCTGGGAAAAAAGCTCCAAATGTTGCTGTCTTGTCTCTTCCTCCCTTTGAATCAGCTTCATTTTCTGGCTCTTGCCCATCTGATAAAAGTTTTGCTGTTTTGCAGGAGTCCAGGGTTGATGAGGACCTTCCTAAAAAGCTGGTGTTAGTGGAGTTTAGATCTCTCACTATGTCCGCGCCTCTGAAGATTAAACCAAAGCAGATGCTCAGCAACGGCTGCGCAAAGAACTTCAAATGTTTCCGCAAGGTCAGAACTATGAGGAAAGCCTCATTTAGGATTTAGAAACACTTCTAATTTAGAAGCCATGAAATGTCATTCAAAATGTGTCTAGTGTCAAAATGTTTTGTTTATGAGATGTTAATGAGAAGCATCGTAACCAATCACTTTCTACCTGACCGCAAAAGAAAATAAGAATTTTGACTTATACACAGGCTCTATCTTTTCCTTTTGTGCATATTTGCAGATTGAAGTGCCAGGGGCCGAGAGCTCGCCACACATCATCGGAGGGTCTGATCTGCTGGTTCACAGCAGGGGCAAGAACTCTGATTTGGATGAATGGCTGAAAGATGCAGCTAAGGTAATCTTTGTCACTCTGTCTGACTTCTTTCTGTCAGCGATCTGTCTGAGTCCTGCACTCATAACTTGAGTCTGTGTTTCAGGAAGAGCGTCAGAGCAGACGGGACGAGACTGTAGGAGACGACCTCTTCAGGTGAGAGAGAGGATTTCTTTTTCTGTCAGAAGATGTGAAGTCTATGTTTTCCCCTCATTTTTAAACACGTATGTGAAGGACCAGTCCTGTGTTTGTTCCATCCTTCATGCTTCATGATATTTATC